GTATGAGATGAAGAGTTTGCTACTGATGATGTCGATTGAGAGGATAGAACATATTCTTCATGAAGAAGCATTGAGCGGGTATCAAGAAAAGACGGGAGTGGCCTACTATGACGGATTATTCCAGCAACATGATCAAACTTTCGACTAATACCATTAACAGCATACATGACAAGATTCTTTTCTGGAACTGGAGCATCGATATTGGCAAGCAGATCTGCAATAGACTTGATGCGAGTAAGGTATGACTCGATGCTTGAGTCACCAAGAGTGATGTTCCGAAGTTCAAGGTCGAGTTGCAAAGCCTTTGCATCTTTGTTGGAGCGGAATAATGCTTCAAGGTCTTCCCATATCTCTGCAGTAGTGCATGTTTTCTTCAAGATCATTTGAAGGAGCGATTCAGATATGGTGCAATATATCCACATGATGACAATGGAATCTATACGTTCCCATTCACTTTTATCAGATGGAGTAGCAGATTTGTCGTTCGGTTATTCCAGATGATCAGCCACACCGAACCCTTTGCAGTGAGTGAAAAACAATTGAAGCCAAGCATCATAATTGAGCTTTTCCAGATCGAATATGATAGGAATGGATGCTTTGATATTAGAGATTCCATATGGTTTTTCTGAAATAGATCTAACAGTGGGTACAGAATCAACAGTGGGTGCAACCATTGTTGTTGGGAGAAGGAGAGCGAGAAGAAACAGATGGAGAAGATGAGAAGAAACGGCGGCTAGGGTGAGAGTTTTTGGGCTCTGATACCAAGATGATTGATATAATTTCCTCGCCTCCTTTTCACATTAAACATAATATATATATATATATATATATATATATATATATATATATATATATATATATATATATATTACAAATACAAGATAAGGGCCATTAATCTAAAAGGGCCGGACTATGGAAAATACACAAATACAATATAATAACATCTAACAGTTATTGACTTACATTTTGTTATTCATATTTAGCAAAATATTTGAGTACTTCAAAATATTACAATGTTAGAACCTAGATATATGGTTCACAGTATGTAACATCCATTTTTTTTGAGCTAGTGAAAATGCAAGCTACCATCTCCTAGATGTGAGCCAAGATGAACAAAATAAAAAGATGGCAATGTTGATGAAAGCTAAATATGATAAATATTAGGACACCAAAGATAGTATGAATTATCTATTATATGTTGCAGTTGTTTTGGATCCATGCAACAAACTTCGATAAGTAAATTATTGCATTGAAACGAGCTATGGTAAGAATTATAAGAAAAGCAAAGAGATATTGGAAAAGTTGACTAAGACTATTATATATTTTTTTAATCATTACAAGAGTAAAGCAGAAAAATGAATTTACAAAATAAACAAGATGGTGTTTTTAGTGAAAAGTCAAGTAAGTTGGTGAGATGAATATTGATTTGGAGCTTAAATTTGACAAATATGAAGATGGGGGTCAAGATACTAAGAGTGAGGTTGAGATCTATTAACTCGATGAAGGAACAAAGGACCAACGTTTGATGTTTTAAATTGGTGGAAAGAAAATTAGGTCAAATTTACCATATTGTCTAAACGAGCTAGACATGTTTTGGGAATGCCGATCTCAATGATTCCATCTGAGTTGACATTTAGTATTGGTGGCAGAGTTATCGATAAGTATATGATTTCGAACACTAACCTCATAGAACCTTTGATTCAGGCATGTAACAGCTATTTAACAGAATGGCTCAGTGGTGACCTGAAGGAGTCAAGGTTTGGTTTTTGAGGAAAAGTTATTTGGCACAACGTGGTGTATGGATACCCACGACGTGACATGGCTTGTTATGATCGTGTGTTTTTAATAAGAACCACAATGTGGAATGTAGTGTGCCACGAGGTGGTGGCTGTGGCAACCTAAGTCCATGATCTTTTAGGGTTTCTTCTGTATTTAAAGCCCCTAACTTCAAGGTTAGGGAATCCTCTTCAACCTCCAACCTTCCTAAATGAAACCCTAGCCTCCTTTTCACCACTTTGAGCCTCCCCTCTCCTTTTTCGGCCATTTGATATTTTGGTGTTGTTTTTTATGCCATGGAGAAGAAGAAGGTGTTTTTGGTGCATAGATTTAGCAATCAAGTTCCCTCACCACCATGGAGCACATATTCTGGACCATTGTAAGTCCTCAAGTTCCAATCTTTTTGTGTCATGCTTCTAGATCTAGGTTTGATGCTTTGTTCTTCATGTATGGGGTAGTTTGAGTAATTGGATTGCATATAGTTAGCAACTTTATGTATACTTGGGGTCTCTATGAGGTTTGGTGTGCAAGATTTGGTGTTTGGATGTGTTTTGGTTCCTTGCATGATATTTTGACATCCTTTTCACCGTTTTTGACCTAACCACGTCAAGACATGCATTGGACATGCATTTCCATAAAGTAAATGTTTTTCTGAAGCTTATGGATATTTGGAAGTATTCTGGAAGAGATGAGTGTGTAGCTTAATGGATTAAGGGCTTAATCCATTAAGTGGTTTCTGGATAGTTCCCACACGGTGGCAATCTGCTGACCACGTTGTAGCGAGTGGATTCTTGGCAAATGTTTTGTTGACGGATTTCTATGTCGTTGCAGGTGCATGGCCACAACATGGTGATCAACTATGCTGTCTTTTGGTTGTTGGCTTTGACAGTTGACTATTGAATTTTTGACCAGTTTGACTTTTGGTCAAACTTTGAGGGGTGTTGAGCTATAGTCTGAGGTTGGCTTGTGATTGGTTTAGGAGGTTCGTGTAGCTAATTTTGTGGTACTTTGAGTAGTGGATTTCACTTCTTCGTTCAAGTGAGTCTTCTCATTGTATTAGCTAAGTCATAGTGGTATGCATGCTAGACTAGCTCAGTCTTATTTGTTGATCATTGTTATATGTGTATGTGAGTTGCTGATAACTACAGGACTGCTAATAGTCTGTTGGGTTCTTGATAACCTACAAGGTTGCTAAGAACTCATAGGGCTGCTGTGAGCCCATAGGGCCGCTGATAGTCCCAAGGTTGTTGATAACCTATAGTTGTTTATAGTGATGTATTGTATGTGATATCTAGTACTGCTGATATTCCTCAGGACTGCTGATAGTCCCAGGGTTGCTGATAACCCATAGTTGATTATGATGGGTTTTGAGCATAACAAGCAATCCCTATGTGTGCTTGCAATCCTAATTCTTGGATCTATGTTTTCTCTAATTTAACATGCAAGTATTGATCATCAAAAGGAAAACCCTAATTGCACTAGTATAATTTCGAAATTTGTAACTAGGGTTAGTAAACATACCTTTGATTGTTATGTTGTAAAAACAATGAAAATTCAAGTCTTCTTCAACCTTGAGAGCAAGCGTTACAAGTGTCATGCCTCTAATGGTTCACACCCAAACTAAGCAAGATGATGAGGGAGGAGCGAGGGGAGGAGGCTTGAGATTTTTGGCTATCCTTCTTAGGGTTACAGTGGCCGTAATTTTTAAGGGGTATAGCCATTTATATAACTGTGGTTACTTAGAGCCAAAGTTAGGGTTTAAGGGAGGAAACCCTAATTCCTTAGCTTAAGGCCTAAGCAGCCCAAGAACTCCATCGAAGAGGCCCTTGGAAGAAATTTCTAGTGCCTTCCTAGAAGATTTCATCCAACCCATCTAGGAGGGTTCTAGAGCCCAATTCCACAACTATCAATAAATTGCTAAACAGCTACTGTACTTTTAATCAATTCCTTTAATCCCAAAATTAATTCCGAATTAATTTCTGATTAAATATTAATTGAATAATATGATTTCTAAATAATATATTATTTCCATAATACATTAATAAATAATTTATCTCAATTATTTATTCAAATAATAAATTCAACCGCTTTCTCCAAAAGTCATCCTGTCTAGTTGCTAGTATGAGGGCAACCCAAAAGGACTGTGCTACTATCAATTTAAGTATATACCGATTATAGTTATGGGCTTAGACACCTAATCCAACATTCTCCCACCTGGATAAGTCTAATAACTATAGTTGTCAGTATAACTTCAAAATTTGATTAGCAAATTGTAACTCTCAAAGCCGCTGTCGAACTTTGACCCAGTCAGTTATGTGTCCAAAAATAAGGGATCAAATATTCCTCCGTTCTACAAGATATCATATGGACATGAGACAAGTGTTATAATCAATCTCATTATCCACGTTCTGTTTCCCGGTTTCTGATTTATGACGACTGAAATCAGATTACCAATTGAACACATCAGTTCAGTCCAGGCTTGGCCAAGCGCTTAAGATGTCATCATCAAATCATCGAGGGGCCCACATAAATCGCTTTTCCTGTTAGCGAAAGAGGAACAGATAAACTTTGATTTATATGCTTGTACTATTCACTCATCAAATCACACAATACAATATGTTTTATAACATCAAGTTACTGATGCGTTTACGTATTATTAATGCACAACTGACTTGTAAACAACAAGTCATATATCTCCGTTTCAAGAATATAAGATATTATCGTCTCAAAATTACTCGTGATTAAATCAATGAAGTAATTCTCTGAGCGTGGGTTTATCCAATACTCAAAAATCCCCATTTCCAAGTACTCGTGAATACTGCAGCAAAACTATTGCTATGTCTAAACCCTTAGACAATCTACAATTCAATTCATGACACTATTAATTCGCTACTTACATCCAAAAGTACGATCAACTGTGGATGTTTAAATAATCCAATTATTCGGGAAGTAAAACATGCGAAGTGAAACACAATAATAACCTAATTACCTATGGTCTCAAAAACTCTTATTATTTAATCACCATATTAATTAGACTTTATTCATAGTATAATGCTTCGAGTAATCAACGAAACACTTGAATTAAACATTAGTCATGCCATGTTATAAACATGCATACTATGTCTCTCTATGGTCCTTCCTTTGTGAACAGATCGATCAGACACTATTCCAATGGTGCTCATTTCACAATTACAGATTCTTGTTACTACGAAACGCGATGGAGTTCAACCTTACAAGCAATGATATATTGTAATGTCAAGGCTTCAAAGTCACAAAGACTTCGCCAACGATATTACAAAATGTTCCATTGAAACTTTGTTTGTAAAAACAATTTCATGGTAACGAAGTTTCAAATTCAAGGTATACTCCTTAAACACCTTCCTTGCATTAAGGTTCCAAACTCACAAGTAGATACTAATCAACAACTCCCATTATGGAAACATTTCCATATTCCTATATGACTATTAATTCCAAACAAGAGTCACTGTCACACCCCCAAACTGGAACGGCGGAAAAATTTGGGGGCGGAGGACGTCATGTTAAGTATCACAACACATGCATTATAGTAATCAAAGTACAAACAACCATTGCATTAATAATGTATAAG